CCCCCCCCCCCCCCCCCCCTCCGAGCGCCAGGCTCCCAGCCCCTCTCTGCCACTCCCCCTCCCCGAGCCAGGAGAGAACCCAGGCGTCCCAGCCGGTACCTGCACATCCTGGAGCAGCACCCCCCAGCTGGGGCTGGGGCCGTGGCCCCGAAGCCCAGCCCCGAAGCCCGGCAGGCTGCTGAGGTGGGCGCAGTGCCAGGAATAGTTGCTGGGGGCCGTCACCTGCGAGGCGTTGAAGACAGTGGGTCTGGCCGAGGGCGTCGCTAGCTCCAGGCGGTTCAGCTGGAACCAGTCCCGGCCCGAGACAGGAAACCACCGGCTGGTCATGTGGAACCTGGAGGGGGGGGGGGAGAACGGCTCATCCAGACATGCCCCAGCCAGAACCCCCTGAGCCTTCAGCCAGGCCCCCCAAAGCCACCCGAGGGCCAGACAGACCCCCAGAAACCCCCAAGGGTCAGCATACGAAGAGCCACACTGAGTCAGTCCAAAGCGCCGACCGTGGCCAGTGCCAGGGGCCCCAGAGAATGAACAGAACCGGTAACATCAAGTGATCCATCCCCTGTGATCCAGCCAGATCCCCCCAGACACCAGCAACCTCCCCCCACTTACCCCCTCCCCAGCCTCCCGACGTATCCCAGCACCCCCAGAGCCTCCCAGTCAATGTAGTGACACCCCCCAGGAGACAGCACACGTCTCTCCCAGGCCTAGCCAGCCCCCCAAATACTCACGTGGCAGTCAGAGGGGACCCAAGAACATTCGCATACTTCAGCACCAGCCTGGATAGGGGGACAGAGACAGTGACCCCGGTGGTGCCCCACACTCCCAGCCAGCAGCCCCCTATCAGCCCAGCCCTGGGCTCCTCCCAGCTCTGCCAGTGCCCCTCCTGACTCGCATCCCCTGGTAGCCCAGCCCTCAGTCCCCCCAGCTCTGCCTGTGCCCCTCACTCCTGAACCACACCCCCTGGTAGCCCAAGCCTAAGCCCCCCACCACTGCAGTGCCCCTCACTCCCCGACCCGCAGCCCCACTCTCACCGGGAGTCATTGGAGCTCCAGGATGAGCCGCTCACATCAACGGAGGCCTCAGCCCCGAACGTCTGGGACGTCAGGTCGACCCACTTGCTGCCCTGGACTACGGAGAAGTTCTGGGCCCAGAAGAGGATCCGGGGCTCACCGGTCAGGGGGTACCGCACCGGGGGGTGCTGTGCTGGTGCTGGGGTCGGCTTCTGCAGCAGCTGGCGGCCCACTCCCCCGGGGGCCACCCCAGAGACGTCCCGGAGAACCTGGGGAGAGGGCTGGGTGAGAGC